CCCCCCCCCCCCCCCCCCTCGCCCCCACTCAAAAAAAAAGACCGGTCCCTTATTGGTTTCCATGACGAGTCCCAACAGGGGGCAATTACTGAACCATAGAACCACTTTTCCCTGTTCCTGACCGATCCTAAGCTTTTAACTTGCTAAAACGAGTAACACGGCATTCATATCTTCATTAAAAAATTACACTCTGAGCTCTGTGATTGTCATCATATGCAGGGCATCTTTGAACATGGCTTTGTCGACTGTGCCACAGATATTCCACGTATTTTCCGGTATGGGGTTGGATTCCACTTTTATTTGGGGGAAATGTTGGTCTTTGAAAAATTGTCGGGGGAAGAGGGTCACCCTCTCAGCAAGCGTTTATATGAGAAAAAAGTCGACTCCTATGCCCGATCCAAGAGCTGACAATAACACTGGCGCATGCTCTCTGAGTGTCTCGCCTTGACCGCGTTGACCCAGGTGGGCGAGCCAAAGCGTTTTTATGGATAAAGTTGGCCTGGCTAGGAGGAAGTTTCTACCAACGAAAAAGTTTACTCCAGTTAGACGGGTACCATTCTAGCCGAGCCAACGTTTTGTTTCTCATGTAAACTGTACGCCAAGTTTTGTCATAAAGGAAAAGAACGAAAAATTGGTTCGCCCAGCAGTAGCTTGGGTAGCTCGCATATTTTCTCCGTACAAACAAGGCCTCAATCTGGCACGCGCTATAGCTGCAATCAGGTTTGCTAAGGTCAACCGATTTGCTTCAACTCAAGTTTGGTGAAGCATCATTGTCCGCCATTTTTTTACATATATCCCACTGACCAGCTGAATTACCTATTAAATACAGTAAAAACCCACGTATAAGAGGCCCGAGTGGATAAAGAACATCCTGGCAGAAATTTGGCACTTTAATACCCAAAAATAAAAGAACCTGTTTAGCCAAGCATAATCAAGCAGGTTCTTATCTGTGGGTTACAGTTAAATTAAGATAAACATCTGAACCTATCTACTAGTTTGCCCCAATTTAAGATTGCAAATTGATATTGCAAGGACTCTCTACTGTAACAAGCTGAAATTAATACCGTATTTATTCGATTAACCGCCCTGGGCGCTTATTAACTCTTTCTGCCTTTAGGATAGGTGCTTATTCGAGGTGGGCGCTAATTCGAGGTTGGGCGCTTATTCGAATAAATACGGTAATAATTATTCATTCAAAATATTTCTCGGTTCTGATTGGCTAAAATCACACGCATAATTCACCATAACTAGCTATTGTCGATCAAATTGCACTAATGACGTCAGAAGTGCAGCAAAGTTGCAGATTATTTAACCGTTAACCGAGAAGACCTGGGACGAGGTTGAGTTGTTTTGGTAGTGAGAACAAAAATGGCGGACATTTCACTCGTTTGATCAGGAAGAAATAGGCGAATTATTGACTAAAAACATAGCAAGATCATCAAGAAGACAACTCGAAGGGCGACACCTGCTATCTGGAGAATATTTGCGAAGTTGAACAACCCTTCAGCTCCTAAACTTGCTGATTAACGTGCACTATCGAAGATGAACTTAAGATCGATGGAGGTAAGCATGTTTTAGCTTGTTTTTAAACTAGGAATTATTTTGAATGAATAATACAACAATTATTGAATTCGGCTTTCGTATCATCTGAAGAATTATCGAGATCGCGGAGGGTGTTATCCGCTTCGGCCGTCTCCTCGATCTCCATAATTCAATAACTGCTTTTTATATTATGTAATTCCTACAACCAAAACAGATTTATATAAAGTACAGACTGTCATTGTCTTCATGGGCCTAGCATAAAAGAGGTTTGCTATCCCAGTTGTGAATAAATAACGTCTTCAGGACGAAACTCAAGTTTCTTTTATTTTTTCTGGTAGTCAACAACTATATCCTCTTCAAAGAAATTTAAAACCTAATTAAGAAAACCTACTTAATACAAATCGCCAATAAGCACATGCCCCAAAATACAAGACCCTACTTTTCCAGACTTCGGATTCTTGAGGATAAAACTGGCATAAAAGTAATTATTATTGTGAAGAAGCAATAAAGAGTAAACGGAAAGTAGGGGGGAAACTTGGTCACGTGGTAAAAATTCACGTCTGCCGTTTGGCGCAAACGTGAATCTTAACCTCTCTGTTATCCGGCAATAATAGCTACGAGGGGCATCTCCCTTTTTTCCATTTTGCTGAGATACTAATGAAGCCTGACTTTCCCGTCCTACATCTGGTCTACAGGTCAGATGTTCAAGATCGTTCTGTTGCCTATATTGGTCGTTCTGTTGCCTATATTGGTTGATAAGAAACAGACGATTCACTCTTTGTATAGCAGCAGAGACCCTTTACTCGGCAACACACGATAAAAAGCATGTATGCAAGCAAAAAAACACCAAGTGATGGCCACAGAATGCAGTATAATATTATACTGCGGTCATATGATTTGTCTGCATGAAATACGAACAGCTCATCTGGTGACTTAGGGTTGACGTAGCATGGGAATGAATCACCATAATAGCCATACTTTTCTTCAAATACTTTCACATGGTAGGAATTGAGATCTGTGATAGAAGAACAGGGCTGGATGCAACACTGAAAGACAAAGAAAATGGCAAGACCATGTTTTAAATATTTTTTAGCTCACGCAACTA